GCCTTTCAAATATTTAAGTAATTGAACTGTGCTCATAAAATCAAGGCATGAGTTAGCAGCTTTGAACTCATTGTTCAAAGAGGCTGGAAGGTCAGAGGAAAGAGTCACTAACTCAACCATTTTGTACAGAAATCTAAAATTATAGAACTGTGGGGGGCAGAGGGAGAATTACTTTTATCTAACTCACTGGATATTGATTCAGTTAAAATTATTTTATAACTTGTGAGAAGATGCAAGTATTATTTAAGATCCACAGAATCTTATTTTTACCATGGAGAGCAGAAACAAAGATTTTGAACTTGCTGCTGGACAGCTAGATAAACATGAACTTTTGTTAGAACTGCTGCGGCCAACAAGGATTGTATAACTCTTGGATGCATGAATGGGGTAATACAGTAAAGCAGAAATAGGATCATGATCTCCCTTTAGTTAGGACCCCATGAGCAGCGCAATCACTGCAAGCAGGGTTTCATTACAGTTTTTAAGTACCTACATGGAGAGCAGGTATTTGATTATTTCAAGCATAACATGACACTATTTGAAAAGTGAAGACAGAAAATTTGAGATATAAATTATGCTTACTCCCCCGCCTTTATACTGGGGGCAATTAATCCTACAACTACTTGTAATACTGGTGGCTATTCTTCATACCTGGAATTTTCCATTTCTCAGGCATGCTATAAGCCAGACCTAAATAATACACTGTCTACAAAGATGCTACTCCAGCCCCCCACTTAAGTAATTGTAGAATAAAGTAACGAAGCAAGCATCTAATTTTCTTAACACTCATCTGATATATTAGCACAGACCCAAATGTTAGAGACACTTAACACAGAATAATACAGAGTAAGAACCACATATGAGATAATTTAAGAGACATAAACCCACCAATCACCCAAGAATCAAGTACAACAGAGGTATAAAGCTCAAAAGAAACAGTGTTCATTAAGCCATTCTGGGAGGAACAATCCATGGAGTTAAGATGCTATCCAGCAATAAAACTAGTTTGGAACCAGGAGTTTCATTAGCTTATATAATGCATAATATATAAAAACTATATATATGCATTATATAATATATATAATTTCTATATTTTATATATATTACATAAAAACTGTAAAAAAGAGTTTCTTTAGGCACACAGATTGACCTCAATCTCACAAACAGACAAAAATTGTATTGATTTGATAGAAAGAAGCATTACTCAGACATACACACATGAGGAGACATGCCTTGACATATTTATTAAAAGTACATGCTATAATAGAAATCAGCCCAAGTGCAATCACCAGGAACACTACAAAAATAAGAGAACATTTAAGGAAAAGAGCACTGATGACATGCAGCCACTTTCACTTCTATATTCTCATGATATAAGCATTCTTCAGTGCTACAGCTTAGCTTCTCCTTTTCTGTTGCTAACGATAGATGCCTTATTGACTTTATATCTTCACAGCACCACCACCAGGAACTGTGACAAACAAACAAAAAGCCTCAGAATAATTTTTTTCAAGTTCTAATATCTGTTATAGAGACCTAAGAGTGAAGTGTCTGGTCTAGAAACTAGGAGTGTTTTCAACACTTGAGGTTAAAGTATATAATGTATATATAATGTCTACTTAAAATCCTCAAATGCCTAATCCTAAACATATACTTTTTGTGAATTCCCTTACCACTTCTGAAAAGTCGTCAACAAAGGAAAGTACGTTAATGCCACCCCTGTCTACAAGTATACAAGTGTAACGATGTCTGTTTTGTTCACTTAACACAAATCTTTGATCAAGAATAAAATAAAGCTTTTACTAACAAATCCGTTTTATAGATGTATAACTTACTCAGGCAAGTTTAAGCTACATGTAACCTCTCTGTCCAGGAAAGTATTTGAGATAATCAGGTCTTCTTCTTTGCCAAAACAGTCCGGTTTTGTCTTCACTGAAGACACCAAGACATCTTCTAGAAGCGGAACATCAATTAACTGCAGCAGTCGTAGCAGAGTTTGCTGTTTCCAGACATCTTCTATTACTGATACCATAAACAAAGAAAACGAACACCCTCAGAAATAAGACCTTACGTAAAACACTAACCTTTGTTTTTACTCACTCAAGAATGTTTTAAGTGCTCAAAGAAAACAAGGTAACAGCATAGTGTGAAGTTTCTATGTTGGGGAAGAAGAGATCAAAATAGGAATGCTAAGAAAGAAGGCTTTAAAGAGAACATCTCTCTCCCCCATCATATTAGAATTAGTAATAACCTACTCTAATTAGTATTACGTACAAGAAAAGACAAGTGAATAGCAAAGGAATCGTATAATACAGATGTACTTAATCTTAAAACCTATTTCCTTCTGAAGTGGTATTTGCATAAATAGAACAGCACCATCCTGCAAAAACTTAATCCTGTTTTGTTTCCTTCAGTTTACTTACTATGAGCATTTACCAATAGCACTCATTTAGCTATTTTGTCATTAGTGACATGTTAAATTTAGGACTCTGAGGGGCAGTGCTTAACAGAAATGAGGTACTCACTCCAAGTAGATACAGTGAAGAACAACCAAGTTTTAAAAAGAAAAATTCAATCCTCACCTCTTTTTGAAAGCCGATTAGTTGGTTCATTAACCATGATCTTTGGAGGTAAAGATGCGTGAACATTTATTGATTGAAGAAGCTCCTCTACCCTCTTTTTATCGGCTGCTTCTAATGCTAAGGGGTTTGAAAGTGTTGTTTCACACTTCGTTCTGCTGGGGGTGTGTGTGGAAAGTTAGATGTATAACAAAACGATCAGGACACATTTATCTTTCTGTCACTTCCTAAATTGCTGTTAAATCAGGACTTTAGGACTTCGTTGTATCTGGGGTCTATCCTGCTGCTAGAAAACTAATCATCCATATTTGCTTTGTACAAAGGGCAAGGATATTGATTCCAAATACTGTTTATTAGTTCCATTAGCTCCAGCTTCTTTTACCAGCTTCCAGCTAATTCTCAGATTTCAGTACAATTGATTGCAAAACAAAATGATTCCTGGGCTTATGCTACTGTGCCAGACTCTATTCTAAATAACAAAGGGCATATCAAAGCAGTTTAACATTACCAAGAAATATTAGGTAGCATCTGCGACTTAGGCATGACATTTCTCAAAACTGGCACGTAGTTTTCAAAAGTCTCCGATACCTGGGTTAGACAGACATAACTTCATCTACAGTTAACCCACCTTAACTTTAAATTAAAAAAAAAAAAAAAAATCAGAATAGTTCAGAGTAACTCACTTGGAACGTCTTTTTGTCTTCTGTTTGCAGATTTGCTCAGGAGACAAGCTCTCATTGTCTTTATTCTTTCTCGGAAGACGAGGAGTAAAACTGCTATTTACAAATTTATAGAGACTAGTGTTTGTGTCTTCAAACTCTGTTTCTCTCTCATTCCTGAATAAGTAAAGCTTTGCTCCAACTGGCTCAAACACCTTGTGATCCATCAATGCTTGACATACACGGACTCCCTTCAGCCGAGAAATATCATTGCAGCTTAGGTACATGCTTTGCATAAGATGGCTCAGTACCACATCAACAGCATTTGAGCCGGTGAAACAGTTTTTATATGTTTTTAGATGTTGTCTACGTCTTTTGATTTCCACCTGACTGTGAAGAGCATGAATAATACTATTCCACAGCTGAGTTGCTTGAAAAGGACCATCACAATCTGCAAAATATTTACATGAAAGTTTTACAGATGTTTATAAGCTGTAACATTAAAAAAAAAGTTTTTACTCTATGAAATTAGTTTTATAGATGTATTTAAAAATTCTCCAGAAATCAGCTTAATTTTACAAAGGCAGAGAAAGATAATACTTCATGAATCAGTCCTTCTTCAAAGCTGACTCACATCCACTAGGACAGAGTCAACAGAAGAGAACAAAAAGACACTAAAAACAGGCAAGGAAGGGTTTTTTTTGTTATTGTTATTACCACACATACTGTATGTATGTACACATACACAATAATTCGTTACAGAATCTCAGAATGGCTGAGGCTTGCAGGGACCTCTGGGGCCCATCTGGTCCCACCCGTCCTGCTCAAGCAGGACCACCCAGAGCTGGTCGCCCAGGACCGTGTCCAGACAGCTTTTGAGTATCTCCAAAGGTGGAGCGTCGACCACCTCTCTGGGCACCACTGAGAAGAGCCTGGCTCCGTCCTCTTTGCACTCTCCCTTCAGGTACTTGTAGGCACTGATGAGAACCCCCCGAGCCTTCTCTTCTCCAGGCTGAGCAGTCCCAGCCCTCTCAGCCTCACCTAGGGGAGATGCTCCTCCAGTCCCCAGTCTCTCCTCCGCATATCACTCTCAGCCCAGCAGGCGACAAACCAACATCTGCAGTACATTAAACCTGCCTGCCCCCCCAACCTTTCGCTCCGAACACTTAGACGCAGCTCCACGCCCAACCCTAGCAGCGGCGCCCCCCTTAACCACGACTTCTAGCGATGCAGCCAGAGGAAGCTCCTCCCTCCTCTGTACAGCTGCCGACCACCGTCCTAGCTCCTTCCCGCCCGCAGGCCGACCGCCC